AACAGGACAAATTATGGAAAGGAGAGCAATCAATAGCCAGCTTCATTGTTCAAAGTTGGGAAGCTGCTATTAGGAAAAAGGACTGTACCTTTGGACCAGCAGGGAGAGACTGGGTGACTATGTGGACTTTCCTACGCAGTCTAGGATAGTTAAAGTTGTAAAATTTCTACCCTATGAGGGACTCCTGCTGCAAGAAGGAATCCAGCAAAAGGGCACTCTGTTTAGCACTTAGACTTTGTTGTCAGCCCAGCGCTTGCATTTGGTTGTCAGTAACCATACAACCAACCATGCTAAAGCATATTAATGACTAATCCAGGATTAGATCGAATGGATCTTTGAGATGCATTAACAGTTGTTCCCAACATGGTGCCCAAGGGCGCCATGGCACCCACCGGGACATTTATGTGCGCCCGCCAAGTGACCAGGGCCGGCCCGAGCCATTCTTGCGCCCCAAACCCCGGGCGCCCGGCACATGCGTGGCCCCCGGCCCCGGGCACGCAGTGCATGTGCGGCGCATGCATGGTGCCGCCTCTGGACGTGCGCTGCATGCGTGGCCCCTGCCCTGGGAGCCTGGCAGCCCCAAAAGGTTGGGGACCACTGCATTAGAATATTCTGTACCTTGCCCTCATGTGGTAATTACACCACAGAGTTAAGGCTGCTTAGATATTTTAAGTGTCCTATTCCTTACCATGTTTGTATATCTTTTTAAGGTGTGCTGTTTGTCCTTATGTTCGCCGCTTCTGCTCCTACTGGGTGGAGTCTTTGGCTGATTAGTCTCTATCTAGTTGAACAACAATTTCACACAATTTTTCTTCAAAGCGTTCTGTTAATTCAATGCCTAATTTTTAGAAGGTTTACCTTAGTTGAATATTTAATTTTAAAATTGCTTGGCATGTGCCATTTGTAGGGGGTGCTCCTTAAGCCACTATCTGTCAATTCTATCATGTTGCCTGGGAGCTGCCTGGGGTTGCTGTGGCTATTTAAAGGGCTCACAGCTCTGGCCCCTGCCTGGGTAGTGCTGCGACCATGAGCTGTGAGCCATTTAAATAGGATCCTGCTGCCTGAAGCACCACCTGGAAATTCATTGACATAGGCAGCAGGATATAAATAGAAAGCGGCAAGATGCAATCTGTGGGTTGGATCATGGATCAAAGTGTTAGGCAGGCCGCATTCAGCCCCCGGGGCCGCATCTTGCGCAGCCCTGGCCCAGAGTCATAAACATCTGTGCACATTCACTAGCCACTACAGCAAGCAGCCAGTGCTGGCCAGAAAAGGGGCAGGTTGGGATGGTGTGAATACAGCTAAAGCCATTATTAGACATGTGAGCAGAGGAGTGACTAGGGCAGGGAAGTGATGCAGCCTCAATGAGGCTGAGACTGGATACTGCAGCCTGTGTTACACGCTACATTTTAAAAAGATGCTGAAAAATTGGAGATGGAGCAGCAAAGACCCCAATGTTTTGAGGGTTGAAGAAAAACACCTTCTTGTGAACAACTGAAAGGAGTCCAGTCTGTTTAGCTTCTGGGAGGTGACGTCATTGAAGTTTCAAAGTGCCTTCCTGGAGAGAAAATGTCAGGTATTAAAGGGCTGTTTAATGCCACAGAAAAAGGCAGAACAAGACCAGGGGCTAGAAAGTGAAAACAGACACATTCGTGTTAGAAATAAGGCACAAATATTTCACAGTGAGGATGATTCACCATTGGAACAAATTACCAAAGCAAGTGATGGATTCTAAATTTCTAGATATCTTCTAATGAAGGCTAGCTGCCTTTCTGGTGTGTGCTTGGATCAAAACTGAGGGTATGTCTACCCTACAGCACTAATTTGAACTGACTTAATTCGAATTATTAATTCATAGAATCATAGAATCATAGGACTGGAAGGGACCTCAAGAGGTCATCGAGTCCAGCCCCCTGCCCTCAAGGCAGGACCAAGCTCCATCTACACCATCCCTGACAGATGCCTATCTAACCTGTTCTTAAATATCTCCAGAGAGGGAAATTCCACCACCTCCCTTGGCAATTTATTCCAATATTTGACCACCCTGACAGTTAGGAATTTTTTCCTAATGTCCAATCTAAACCTCCCCTGCTGCACTTTAAGCCCATTACTCCTTGTCCTGTCCTCAGAAACCAAGAGGAACAAATTTTCGCCTTCCTCCTTGTGACACCCTTTTAGATATTTGAAAACCACTATCATGTCCCCCCTTAATCTTCTTTTTTCCAAACTAAACAAGCCCAGTTCATGAAGCCTGGCTTCATAGGCTTCTCTAGACCTTTAATCATTCTTGTCACTCTTCTCTGTACCCTTTCCAATTTCTCCACATCTTTCTTGAAATGTGGCACCCAGAACTGGACACAGTACTCCAGCTGAGGCCTAACTAGTGCAGAATAGAGCGGCAGAATGACTTCACGAGTTTTGCTTACAACACACCTGTTGATACAACCTAGAATCATATTTGCTTTTTTTGCAACAGCATCACACTGTTGACTCATATTCAACTTGTGGTCCACTATGACCCCTAGATCCCTTTCCGCCATGCTCCTTCCTAGACAGTCGCTTCCCATCTTGTATGTATGGAACTGATTGTTCCTTCCTAAGTGGAGCACTCTGCATTTCTCCTTATTAAACCTCATCCTGTTTACCTCTGACCATTTCTCTAACTTGCTAAGGTCATTTTGAATTATGTCCCTATCCTCCAAAGAAGTTGCAACCCCACCCAGTTTGGTATCATCTGCAAACTTAATAAGAGTACTCTCTATCCCAATATCTACATCATTGATGAAGATATTGAACAGTACGGGTCCCAAAACAGACCCTTGAGGAACTCCACTTGTTATCCCTTTCCAGCAGGATTTAGAACCGTTAACAACAACTCTCTGACTACGGTTATCCAGCCAATTATGCACCCACCTTATCGTGGCCCTATCTAAGTTATATTTGCCTAGTTTATCAATAAGAATATCATGCGAGACCGTATCAAATGCCTTACTAAAGTCTAGGTATATGACATCCACCGCTTCTCCCTTATCCACAAGGCTCGTTATCCTATCACTTCAGACAACTGCTGCTTGTTCTGCCATCCGTCACTACTGAGAGCAGCCTCTCTCCATCCTCTTTGGAACCTCCCTTCTCGAAGTTGAAGGCTGCTATCAAATCCCCCCTCACTCTTCTCTTCTGTAGACTAAACAAACCCAAAACCCTCAGTCTCTCCTCATAGGTCATGCACTCCAGCCCCCTTATCATTCTGGTTGCCCTCTGCTGGACCCTCTCCAATGCGTCCACGTCCTTTCTGTAGTGGGGGACCCAGAACTGGACACAATCCTCCAGATGTGGCCTCACCAGAGCCTAATAAAGGGGAATAATCATTTCTCTGGATCTGCTAGCAGTGTTCCTCCTAATGCACCCTAATATGCCATTACCCCTCTTGGCTACAAGGGCACACTGTTGACTCATATCCAGCTTCTCATCCACTGTAATCCCCAGGTCCTTTTCTGCAGAACTGCTACTTAGCCAGTTGGTCCCCAGCCTGTAACAATGCTTGGGATTCTTCCGTTCCAAGTGCAGGACTCTACACTTGTCCTGGTTGAACCTTGTCAGATTTCTTGTGGCCCAATCCTCTAATCTGTCCAGGTCACTCTGGACCCTATCCCTGCCCTCTCCCCCTAGGTAGGGATCTACCTCTACCCCTAGCTTAGTGTCGTCTGCAAACTTGCTGAGGGTGCAGTCCATCCTCTCATCCAGGTCATTAATAAAGATGTTGAACAAAACCACCCTTAGAACTGAACACTGGGGCACTCCGCTTGAAACCATCCAACAACCAGACATCGAGCCATTGCTCACTACCTGTTCGGCCCGACAGTCTAGCCAGCTTCCTATCCATCTTACAGTCCATTTATCCAATCTATATTTCCTTAACTTACTGGCAAGAATATTGTGGGAGACCGTATCAAAAACTTTGCTAAAATCAAGGTATATCACATCCACTGACTTTCCCATATCCACAGATCCAGCAACCTCATCATAGAAGCTAATCAGATTGGTCAGGCATGACTTGCCCTTCGTGAATCCATATTGACTATTCCTGATCACTTTCCCCTCTTCCAAGTGCTTCAAAATAGATTCCTTGAGGATCCTCCTCCATGATTTTTCCGGGGACTGAGGTAAGGCTGACTGGTCTGTAGTTCCCTGGATTGTCCTTCCCTTTTTTAAAGATGGGCACTACATTTGCCTTTTTCCAATCATCCGGGATCTCTCCCGATCTCCACGAGTTTTGAAAGATAATGGCCAAAGACTCCACAATGACATTTGCAAACTCCCTCAGTACCCCTGAATGCATTAAATTTGGCCCCATGGATTTACGTATGTCTAACTTTTCGAAATAGTTCTTAACCTGTTCCTTCTCCATCGAGGGTTGTCCATCTCCTTCCCATACTGCATTGCCTAGAGCATTTGTCTGGGAGCTGACCTTGTCCGTGAAGACAGAGGCAAAGAAAGCATTGAGTACTTCAGCTTTTCCTACTTCATCTGTCAGTAGGTTACCTCCATCATCCAGTAAAGGCCCCACATCCTCTCTGGTCACCCTCTTATTGCTAACATGCCTGTAGAAACCTTTCTTATTATCCTTCACGTCCCTTGCTAGCTGCAATTCCAATTGTGCTTTCGCTTTCCTGATAATTCCTCTGCATTCTCGAACAATATATTTATACTCCTCCCTAGTCATCTATCCAAGTTTCCACTTCTTGTAAGCTTCCTTTTTGTGTTTAAGCTCACCAAGGATGTCCCTAGTAAGCCAATGTGGTCGCCTACTATATTTGCTTTTCTTGCTGCGCATCGGGATGGTTTCTTCCTGTGTCTTTAATAAGGCTTCTTTAAAATACTGCCAGCTCTCCTGGACTCCTTTCCCCTTCATGTAAGCATCCCAGGGAATCCTGGCCATCAGTTCTCTGAGGGAGTCAAAGTCTGCTCTTCTGAAGTCCAGGGTGTATATTTTGCTCCTCTCCTTACTTCCTTTGGTCAGGATCCTGAAATCTACCATCTTATGATCACTGCTTCCCAGGTTGATCAGTGCTTCCCAGGAGAAGTCAAACATCCAGAGAGGCTGGCAAGAGTCAGGGCACATGACTTACAAGAGAGGGGTGGGTGTGGCAATGACACCACAAAGGCCTGTTGGCCATCATTGGTGGAGAAGTGGTGACCTCATAGAGAGAGACTGACATCAGCCAGGCAGGACAGAAGTGCAAGGCAGGGCCAACCTTAGAGACTCTCCTGGTGTTGCAGCAGCAAGGCCCCTTCTCAAGGTCTCTCCTTAGGGACTGAGACAGAATTAGGATTAATGTACGTGAGCATGAGGAGGAACCTCATTCGAGTTTTCTCCTTCCCTACTACTGATTTGGTAGTCCCTGCTTAGAAGGTAAGAGCCTCAGAGAAGTTTGGAATCTGTTCTGTCTGATCCATCTGCTACCAGATGAATTCTAGGCATAGAAATCACTGGGTTAAGGTGATTTAATTTCCTACCAAGGACTTTATCCCATGCAGAATCACTGGGAGTTTGTCCTTTTAGGTTTCTCCTTTTCTCTTTCCTGCCCTCTTTCTCTTCTTTTCTTGCTCCCCCCGATCTCCATTTCTTCCTGCCTCCTCTAAGGAGGGGTGTGTGTGTCAGGAAGGTTTGCTGTCACTACACAAGACCCTCTCAAAGAGGTGGGGCTGGAAGAGTACTCCGAGACTGATCCTTTCTTGTGTTGACCTGAGCCATCCTTTGGGACATCTGCTGAAACTCCTCTGCCTCCCCATCTCAGAATCTCAATGCTGATGAGCAAGTGGCTATTGATAGGGAAGATTCAGATCATTTTGTTCTCTTAAGTCCAAACAAATAAGTCACAAGCAATCATGTATTTGATTGTGCTGCTTCTCTGCAATTATTTTCTCTGCGCAGCTCCTGATTCTAATATGCCAATTCTTCTCAAATAGATGCTGACAATGTCTTTAATAATGTCTTTAATACTCCAATGAGTATGAACAGTTGTTGGTCTATAGCTCATTTAAGAGCACTGGATTTCTGATCAGTCAATGTGTTAGAAAGAAATGGGTTAAGTATATGTTTGATTTATATGGTTGCCATTTTGGTTGAATCTCCATTTTGAATTGACAAAAGGACAACTTGGCCTCCATCTTGGGGCCCCTTCTTCTCCAGGCTTTTGGTGTCAAAACAGAGGAAAGGGAGGGAACATGGAGTGCCATGTGACAGAAAATCTGCCCAGCAACTGGAGAGCACATAGGGGAGTGTCTGTCACTCTGACAGGGCTCTGCATCTCCCACAGCAAGCCAGCTGGGCACAGAGACCTCCCACAGCAAGCCAGCCTTCCTGAGAGCTAGAGCCAGGGGAGATAACATCTAGAAGGGACCCTTTAACATACATCCACCCACAAAACCAGACAGGGAGTGTCCACATATCACATGCAGGACAGCGTGGGACAGAAAATCAAGGGGAGTCCACCTACCTGTTCCAGAGGTTCTTGGAATCCAGTTCCTGAAGTTCCTGTGTCCTCCCCTGTGTCATCGCAGTGTCTTCAGGACATGGTATAGTCCTTTCCTATTGTCTTGTTCTCCTATTGGAAGGGTCTGGCCTCTGGGGTTCATCCCCTATGGTAACATCTGTGCTAACATCCAAGCCATTATTGTTATGTTGCAGGGAGTTGTAGTTTGTTGTTTGTGTTATCTAATAAATATCTTGTTGTTTTATCTAACCTGCCTGCATCTCAACTACACTAAACTCCGATGATAGATGCCGAGGGGGTAGGATACTGCAGACAGCCCATCTTCTGACCAGTAAAATCATAGATCTGGGCTAACAAATGTGCCCAGAGGAGCTGGCTAGGGTCAGGACATCAGCCTTGCAGGGAAGAGGTGGGTGTGGCTAGTGACTTCACAATGGCCTGTTGCAGGACCTGGGGAAAGGTGGTGGGGAGGTGGTGACTTCACAGAGACACCATGACATCAGCCAGGCAGGACAGAGGTACAAGGCAGGAACAACCTCAGACACACACCCCTCCATGGCTTTGTGGGAGGCCCTCTCAAAGAAGTGGTGCTGGAATTGCTCTGGAATTGATCCTCTCTGGTGGTGATCTGAGCCATCCTTTGGGACATCTGCTAAGACCTCTCAGACTTCCACTTCTCAGAGTCTCAATGCTGATTGGCAGAGCAGGGGGCTATTGACAGAAAAAGTTTTCCCAATCTCCCAACTGTGACCCATGTCTGTCCCTTCCTTTGTAGGCTCTGCACAAGGCTTTGTCTGACCTCAGGCATGCCATGCTGGGGAACCACCTAGCAGAGTCCCCAGACACAGAAAGGCTCCAATACATCTTGAAGGTGAGCATGGTCAGGAGGGGCAGTGGACAGTTTTGCTTTAGTGCTGGGGAGAACTGGAGAGTCTGGAAATCTATTTTCCAGTCGGTCCTCCTGGCCAGCACCCAAATGGGTCATGCTTGGTCAGAGCCCTTCCTCCTTCAGGGACAGGGGAAGAAGATGGAACTTCAAGTCAGGGCCATGGACGGTTTTGGGACCCAGAACATCAAATCTCCCACCCATTGCCTAACCTCCCCATCTCCTGCCATGAGATCCAGGAGGCTGTGCTCACAGACAAGTCACAGATTAATTCCTAGAGAACCAGGTGAGCCTGAAGGGAAGCAGCTCTTCTTCACTACAGACACTTAGATTTGAAGAGGGGGATAGTCCTCACAGTAACTCCTTTCCTCTGAACAATGGCTTTCGATCTAGCAAGGGACATGGGGTCTGTCTGCATCCTGATGACCTATTCTTGAATGAAGAGTTATGAAAGGATAGGACCATCCCAGACACTGAACACTGTCCTAGTCTAGAGAGACAAAGACAAATTATGACAGTTCTTTTTCAGTGCCATGTTCAATGAATCAGATATTTGTCCCTGAACACAATGTCAGGGATGAGGGTGGGCATGTTTGCACAGCAGACACACTGGTCTATTGATTCTGGTTTTCCACTCTCCCCAATAGTGTGTCAACTTCTGCATCAGATCCAGAGTGTCCCAGGAGAGAGCCAAGGCGGTAAGGAACAGCAGAGCCCTGTTCTGATTCACCATCTACCTCCCTGAATTTGACGTAAGTAAACTCTGACCCTGCTTCCTGATGTCAGATGTAGGCAGGCTGGCTCCAATAGGCTGCCAGAAACTGTGGGTTGGGAGTGTTCCTCTTGGGAAGGCAGAGTAAGAGCAGGGAATGAGATAGACTTGTGTCGAGTTCATCTTCTGGTTCAGTGGAGATCCTTGGACTTTAAGGGGACCATATTCCAACCTCAGCTCCAGCCAGGTTTGTGCCTGACCTTGGGTTCCTTGTCTTCCTGGAGCAGCTGTGGGATCAAGTCCTCATGAAGGGCCCTGCCCACATCCCTTTGCTCCAGGATCCATTTGGGGCAGAAGGAGTTGAGGGTCTAACGCTAGCGACTCTCCCCCAGTGTTTGCAGCAGAGAGACATGGGGGAGAAAGACTCCTGACCCAGGGCCAATTGGGAGTTGACAATATAATGCTAATGGAGCCCCCTCTCCTTCCCTACCATTAGAACTCAACACAGTTCCCCAAACTATGGAACTTGGTGGCTTAGCTGTGACTGTCAATCAGTGACCCAAGCCAAGGACATTGGCTGGCTGGCCAGGGTGTGGATTTACTGACTCCACAAACTGCTGCTATGACAAAGGTAAGAAAGCCCAGCTGGGATATGGGACACAATAGGAAAGTGACACTCAGGGTATGTCTACACTACAAAGTTAATTCAAAATAACAGCAGTTATTTTGAATTAACTTCAATAGTGTCTACACATGCAAACCGCTATTTCGATTTTAAATCAAAATAGCGGAGCGCTTATTTTGAATTTGGTAAACCTCATTCTACAGGGAATAACACCAAATTCAAAATAGCTAATTCGAAATAAGTGCTGTATAGACACTTATTTCGAATTAGGGGGCCTCCAGCCCTTCCCAGTTTCCCCTGGTGGCTACTCTGGGCACAACCAGGAAAACTCTTCTCTCCCCCAGCCCCGGGGCCCTTAAAAGGGTAGAGTCTGGCCACTGGGAACGTGCCAGGGCCAGGCCTGCCAGCAGCTGAAGCCATCGCCCGCCCAGTCCCTCAGCACCCAAGGGCCAGCCAGGGGCCGTGGACGGTGTGCGCCCTCATGGACTAGTGCGGAGATCATGGACCTCATTGAGGTTTGAGGGGAGGCCCCCAACGTCCATGATATCTGCACTAGGCAGAGGAACGCGGCCATCTACGGCTACATAGTGGCCACCATGGCCAGGAAAGGCCACATGTACACCCAGGAGCAGGTGCGCCCCTCAAAATTAAAGAATTGTGGCAGGCAGACTAGTGTGGAGGTCATGGACTTCACTGAGGTTTGGGGGCAGGTCCACAACCTCCATGATCTCCACACTAGGTGGAGGAATGTGGCCGTCTACAGCTGCATAGTGGCCACCATGACGCAAAAGGGACACAGGTGCACCCAAGAGCAGTAAACAGCTGAAAGTGAAAGTGAAACAGCTGTGGCAGGCGTATGCCAGGGCCACCAGGGGCAGCGCCACAGCAGGGGCTGCCACCTGCCTCTACTTCCCCGCCCTTGACCAACTCCTGGAGGCAGTGAGCCGGGAGCTGAGGACCCTGACCCAGGTGTAGCAGAGGGGCCACCACCAACTGTCCCGGCACCGGAGTCGTCAGGGTCGTCCGGGAGGCCATACCATGTAAGTGCTAGCACTGTCCCCTACCCGGGAAGGCAGGGAGGGAGACCAGGGACTGCGCACATGGGCCATGCCTCCCACGGATCATGCAGCCACCTGTGCACCTGCGAGCACGTGCTGTGCCATGCCACCCTTGGGCAGGCGGCTCCAGCTGGTGACGCCCAGGGGCCGTGGTGCAATAGGCACACGCGTGTGTGAAGAGGCCTGACAGGCTCCCAACCCCATGCGAGCACGTGCTGTGCCATGCCACCCTTGGGCAGGCGGCTCCAGCTGGTGACGCCCAGGGGCCGTGGTGCAATAGGCACACGCGTGTGTGAAGAGGCCTGACAGGCTCCCAACCCCAGGTCAGGACTCAGCAGGACACCCTACCTTCACACGCCCCCTCTACACAGAGGCAGGGGACATCTCCCCCTCACCCTGGCCACACTATACATGGCACAGGGGCATGGGTGCAGTCTTGGAGCAGCTCCCACTCCTGGGGAGAGCCACACATCCCTCCCAACCATGGCCTCTGTGCAAGCACATCGGCTCTGACAGGCTCCCAACCCCAGGTCAGGACTCAGCAGGACACCCTACCTTCACACGCCCCCTCTACACAGAGGCAGGGGACATCTCCCACTCACCCTGGCCACACTATACATGGCACAGGGGCATGGGTGCAGTCTTGGAGCAGCTCCCACTCCTGGGGAGAGCCACACATCCCTCCCAACCATGGCCTCTGTGCAAGCACATCGGCTCTGACAGTGCAGGGCATGGTCATCCGCATCTCGCAGGGGGCACTGGGCATCATCCACTGCATCTCCAGGGAGAAATGACCACTCTCCGGCTTTCTCCACAGCCGCACCACCTGCACGTGCAGGGCGCACCACCCCACCTAGGACATGCTCCTGCACCTGAGGGCTCCTCCGGACCACCAGCATGCAGCAGGGGTACCGGGACCAGCACCTGGGGGCCCTGCGAGCCCTGCACCGCACCATCCAGGCCTGGGTGCAGGAGGACCTGCAGCTCCTCCGGAAGCAGCTTGCCCAGGACTGTGCCATGTGCTCACACCTGCAGGCCCTGCTGCAGAGCGTGCTGCCCTGTGCTGCCCCCCTTCCCTCTCCCCAGTTTTGTTAAATAAAGACAGTTCCTATTTATGAAAAAACGTGTCTCTTATTTGACATCAGGAAGGGGAGCTAGGGAGGGGTAAGTGGAAGGGTGGCCTGATGATACCCCCACCCCTGAGCGCTGAGTTTCCCCTCCCCCTTCTTCCCCTCGCTTCCCCCTTCTAGCTCCCTTCTCTCTCCTCCCCTCTCCCACCTCCTTTCTCCAGTCTCCCCAGAGATTCATTCCCTCTCCCCAGTTTTGTTAAATAAAGACAGTTCCTATTTATGAAAAAACGTGTCTCTTATTTGACATCAGGAAGGGGAGCTAGGGAGGGGTAAGTGGAAGGACGTGAGGGAGGAATGGGGCATGAGCCCCCGGTGGGGAGGACCAGGGTGGCTCTGAGGGGCGGACGCTCTCCCGCTGGGTCTTCTGGATCCTGACTGCCCCCAGTGGACCTCCCAGATGGCAGCCTGCAGCAAGTGCAGCCAGGCTGATGGCAACGACCCCACGAGGTGCACCGGCGTGCCCAGGAAAAGGTCTGGTTCCATGTTGCAGAGTGCCGTGGTGTCCCGAGTGAGGGCAAGCAGAGCACTCCGAGACACAAATGCTTTGCTGTCCCTCAGCGAGGTAGACCAGCAATCAGAGAAACCTGAGAACTGTCTGTCTGGGTTGGGGGGGTCAGGTCCCTTTAAGCACAGACCTCAGATAGCCTGAGGCAGCAGCCCTGCACACTAAGTCTGACCCTGATGCCCTACCGGCACTGGTTCCATCCAGCCTTACCTTCGATTCAGGGTCCACTCAATGTGGACGTGCTATTTTGAATTAGAAAAATGCTATTTCAATTTAGTTTTTGTGTCTAGATGCGTTATTTTGAATTAGCTTAATTCGAATTAACTATTTTGAATTGTTAATTCAAAATAGTGCTGTAGTGTAGACATACCCTGACAGAAGCCAGGCAACAAGACCTCTGAAGAATTGATCCATCCCCCATTTGAGACTGTCCTGCTGAAATTCACCAAATCCTCTGAGATTGGCCCCAGCTGGAGGATGAGTCTGTCTCCTCCTTCCCCTATTCCATTTAGAAATGAGCCTTCCTTCCCAGGCATCGAGGATACTCCACCCACCATAGGGAACCCTGCTATTCTGTGGGGCCAGAGATGCAATCCAATCGGAATGGAAGAATGCAGTCACAAACTTCAGACAGAGAGAAATTCACCAAATCCTCTGAGATTGGCCCCAGCTGGAGGATGAGTCTGTCTCCTCCTTCCCCTATTCCATTTAGAAATGAGCCTTCCTTCCCAGGCATCGAGGATACTCCACCCACCATAGGGAACCCTGCTATTCTGTGGGGCCAGAGATGCAATCCAATCGGAATGGAAGAATGCAGTCACAAACTTCAGACAGAGAAATCTGACAATGAGAAGCTGCTAAGAAACAGTTGTCATAGGGATATGGAGGCAGGAGTTCCCCCTGCAATGGGGTGTGTGGGGGAGAGGGGTGTTATTTGGCACCGGAGGTCATTAGAGAGGAAGACAAGTCCATCCCAGGGTGTCAGTTGCCACTAATCCTCCCTAATTCTTGGTGACATCCAAGTCTCTGACGTTCTCTTGAGGTTGGAGGACATCACAGGCATGGTGATGCACCAGCTCCTCTCTATCAGATCCTGTCACCAAGGCTTTGCAGGGGCTGTGCCTTTTAGGGTGCCTCTGATGGGATACAGAACCGCACACTGGGTCAGGAAGTATTAGAAAGCAGAACTGCTCCAGCTGGAGGAGAAGTTTCAATAGGGGCCTCTCATGGGGTGTATGGTTTCTGAGCTAGCATGTGGGATCCTAGGGTTAATACAACCACTGTCAGCCACTGCTGATTGGCAGGCTAACAGCAGCTTGGAGGATCAAAGGGCTGGGAAACAGACTGGAAGGGCTGCTAAAGAGGAGTGAGCAGGCAGAAGAAAGGAACTGCCTCAGCAGACTGCTAGAAAGCCATCCAGGGACAGCCCCCCAGCAAGGGGCAAAGATGTTAACAGACCAAACTCCCTGATGGACCTGAGAACAAAGTGAATTTCCAGTTTCCTGGACAAGAGGAGTGGACTGACAGCCCCACTGAGCTGAGGAAGACAGAGCCAAATGCTTCCCCCGTTTGGCCAAGTGAGGCACCTTTTCACTGATGCACTACCTCCTAGAGCCAGATTGCTCTGAAAGGGGAGACAACAGAATGAAAGACTGACCTGGGGAGATGATGAAGAAGGGTGCAGCAGGAGTCTTGGCTGCCGGAGAGATTCTGCTAGGAGCAGCTGTCCCAGGCCTGAGAGCAGGGGTCAGCCTTTGCCTAAGACCACAGGACCCTTTGCTCTTAACATCTGGAGGATCCTGGGTGAGACATGAGGCCAGAGGCCCTGAGGAGAGGAAAGGCCCAGGCTCCTACACTAACCACCCATTTCTTGGAGGGAAAGTAGACCATTTCCCCCTCCTATAACCAACCCTTCTGCTAGGTAGCGCCAGCAGCAGCCAGGGCCGTTCGATATCTAGGGGTTCCTCTCCACCCAACACAGAACTGGCTCAAGCTTCTACCCAGTAACTTGGGAAATTCACACAACACCCCTGGGCGCCTCTGAGAGGCAATGCTTCCCCCCTCGCAAGCACAGAGTGTGGAAAAGAAACCTTTCATAAAAGGGGAGGGAAGTAACGTGGCATTAATTATGGAAAACACCACGGACAGAGTTCATAACCAAACCACGAGTAAATGTCCCAGCTCAAGAAGGTTGAGCAATGTCCTTTTCCTCACAGGTTCTTCAGTCCCTTCACGTGCCCAACCCTTCTGTGCACCTCACTCACAGTTGCTGCCCTTGGTCAAGGCAGACCCAGTGTTCAGAGCTGCATCTGCAGAGTTCACCTTCTATCCTGAGTGTTGGGAGGTAGGAGGCATCTGACTCACTCCACTGGTCACTCACCAGCCACCTGCTCACTGCTCTCTGGCACCGCTCCGCTGGCCACTCATCACCCCTCACTGCTGCCGCTCTGCTGGCTGCTCCTTATGCCTCTCCATTGCGGCCCTGCTAGCTGGTCATCATGTTGCTCATCGCATCTTCCGCTGGCTTGTGGTGGATTTGGCTGTAGGCCAAACCTAGTGATTTCAGCTCTTAGCCCAAAGCACAATTCAGCAAAGAGATTCCAGCATCCACTGGAGTAAATTTAAAAGAGACTCCTTATGGAGCCTTTCTTTGGCTCTATCATTGAAACAGTGAGGAGAAACAGATTGAACCAGTCTTACGCCTCATTCCTGGAGGGCATGCAGCCTAATAACTCTGGCTATGTCTACACTACAGGCTTCTTGTGCAAGAGATCTTCTGCAAAAATTTCTTGCGCAAGAGCACGTCCACACCACAAAAGCACATCGCAAAAGAGATGTGCTTTTATGCAAGAAAACATCCACACTTATCAGATGCTCTCTTGCATATAAAACCACTCGCAACTGGTTCTAGCTGGGTTTTAGGTCACCAGTTGCTCTTGAGTGCGGTTGCCGGAGTCCCGTATAGACACGCGCTTAAGATAAAACCACCCGCAACTGGTTCTAGCTGGGCTTTAGGTCACCAGTTGCTCTTGAGTGCGGTTGCCGGAGTCCCGTATAGACACGCGCTTAAAGGGACCCACCTTGGACAGCCGTTTCTCTGTTTCTGCTGTCTGCTTGCGGACTTCTGTTGAGAGACAGCAATGTGTCAGCAGTGTCTGTTGTGGTTGCCCTGTTCTTTTTGGGGCTGCCACAGCTTTTTCCTGTTGTGTGCCATGGAGCCAGAGCTGCACCTGGGTAGGTGACTGTTCCACATGGCCATGCTGCAGTTCCTGCAGCATTTGCTTCTAGCTGCCTACATGTTCATGCTGGATGTAGACTCGGAACTCCTCCTAGTCATCCTCTGCGGCTGCTCCACTCTGGCACCCCACCATACACAGAAGGTTCTGGAGCTTGGGGATCAGTTTGGACTGGTGGGACCGGCTGGTCATGGAGCAGTGGGATGATCAGCAGTGGCTGCACAACTTCTGAATGAGGAAGTCCACCTTCGCTCCTGCCCTCCAGAGATGCAACACCCACCAGCAACCCACCATCCCCCTGCAGAAGCAGGTTACAATCGTCCTCTGGAAGCTGGCAACCCGAGACAACTACCAGTTGGTGGCCAACCAGTTTGGGGTGTGGAAGTCCACCATTGGAGCCCTGCTTATGCAGGTAAGGAGCTCACGGGCTGCAGTCCCTGCATGGGGGAAGGATGTTGGAAAAGGGGGACCCTTGTGTGTTTCTTTGTTTCCTTCTGCAGGTTGTAAGGGCCATCAACTCCATGCTGCTGCGCAGAGTTGTCTGTCTCAAGGACCTGAACGCAACCATGGCTGGTTTTGCTGCCCTTGGGTTCCCCAACTGCGGGGGAGTCATCAACAGCAGGCACAAAAATATTGTGTCTACATGACACTTGTATCAGCCAGATTGTATACAGCCTTCTACTAACTCTATAGGCTCCTGCTGCTGCCTCCTTAATTTTCCTGGAATAGCAAAAATGAAACATAGCCTCTGAGAGATGCTATGTCAATGCAAAATTCTTCATCTTGGGAACACAGCCAACCTCAGGCAGACCAACATCAGGTGCCAAATTAAAAAATTATGACACTGGATTACTTTCTACATGAAAGCTGAGGATGTGTCTACACTACAGAGTCTATGTTGACATAGCTGTGTCAGTATAACTCCATAGCTTAGATGCAGCTGACACTCACAGAATGAGTTTTTCCTGTTGTCATAACATTGTACCTTGAGGAAAGTCCCAGCTGTAAGTCTAAGTTTAACTCTCCTCTCAGTCTTATGTAACTTTGGCTTGTAGGATCTCACCAGTCCTCTTCTTTCTCTTCCTTATCTGGCTCGGGCTTTCCATGGGTGTGCCTCCAAGAGAGAGCAGCAGCTCCAGATAAAACACAGAGGTAGTC